GCGCTGGCCGTACTGGCCGTAGGTGGTGACCAGGAACTTGAGCGCGGCCAGGTTGGAGAAGGAGTTCTTCTGGCGCGAGGTCTCCATCTCGTTGAGGATGGTGAGGGTCGAGGCGGGCGAGTAGAGGGTGTAGGTCGCGCGGCCGCCGAACAGGGTGCGGCAGATGTCCATCAGCCGAAAGTCCTTGCTCGTGTCGGTGTCTTCGACGTTGGACTTCTTCTTCCAGTAGCTGAAGGTGGTGCCCTTCATGCCCAGGATGGTGCAGAGCTCCTTCTTCATGAAGAGCGGCCCGCCGTCCGAGTCGAACAGAACGTGGAGGTCGACCCCGGTGGCGAACGAGTGGCGCACCGGCGGCGGCAGCTGGAGCTGCGACGACGAGTGGAGCACGCGGCGCTGGAGCTTCATGATGTAGTTGGTCGAGAAGCCGGTCTCGCGGATCACCTGGTCGCGGCTCTCCTTGTCGTTCTGCACGATCAGGTCGACGATGCTCTCGGGCGAGATGCCGCTCGCGGTGAGCGCCTCGAGCACCGGCTTCTCGATGTGGATGCACACCTCGCCGCCGTGCGGGTTGCGGGCCGTGACGGGGATCAGCTGCGCGTCTTCGGGCGGGTCGTCCATCATCGGCACCCCGGCCGCGACCATGGTGGTCGCAGCAGAGAACGATCCGCGGCGCGGCGACGACATGGGCGATGATGTGGCGGACGACGACGATGATGACGTGGCGGGCTCGGGGTACTCGAGCTTGACGCGCTTGGCGGGCGGCTCGACGCTTGAGGAGATGCTGGACCGGCGCGACGAAGATGCCGGCGTAGAAGAAGAGAAAGATGAACGGGGAGATGGTGTGGTCGACGTTGACGTTGAGTGGAGCGAGGCGAGGGTGGATGAGAGCGGCGGGAGGGAGAAGGACGACCGGGGAGAGGAGAGACAGGAGAGGGGTGATGTGGGCATGGAGGTGGTTGAAGAAGACGTAGTGGAGAAGAAAGATGATGGAGGATGGATGCTGGCGGTGTAGTGTGTCGTGGCCGAGTGCTCGGCCGCCAGGGCGTCCTTCAGTGCATCCTTGGCGGAGAAGTGTGGACGGCTGCCGCGTTGCATCTTGGATTCGCTCGGCGGAACGGATGATGAAGTTGAAGATGACGAAGAGCCGGGGCACGAAGCCAGCTGCACGAGCGAAGGGCGTTGTTGGTGCTTGTTGTTCTCGCTGGCGGGTTTGTCGTCGTTGCCCATCATCACGTTCCACGGAAGATGAGATTGATGCTTGAGGAGATGAGCTCCGTGGTGTGCAGTGGTGGCGGCAGAAGATGAAGCGGTGTGGTGGCCGGAGAGGCTCACCAGACCCTCGAGCGCCAGCTGTTCGTCGGGGATCGAAGCTCGTCTCTTCATGTCGTTGTGCTGTGCGTTTCTGGAGCGATGATCAGCGCGAGATGCGATTTGTGCCGCTACGAGATGATTTGTCGAATCCGAGTGTGTCGCGCGTGGTGCCAGCAGCATCCGTGAGTGGTTGCGTGACGTAACGAGATGTGGCGTGTGCGTGTGCGGTGCGTGCGTGCACACGTGCGGTGATGGTGTGAGTTTGGAGGTGTGAATGTCGGCCCCGAAGGCTACGGCTGCCTTCGTGGTAGGTGGTGGGGCAGCAGGTCGTGCGTGCAATGAAGTGGAGGAGAGCAAACCAGCGCAAGCCCGAGCGTCACCAATTTATAGTGAGCTCATCACGACAAGGGACACTTCCGCACCGGTCACCACAGAAATGTCAGCCCTTTGGCGCTACCGCTTCTGGGAACAAACGAACGGATTTTCTACCACTTCGTATTTTTCGTTTAGCGTCGGAGCCAACGGGAATTTTTAAAATCACGAAATTTCAGACGGGATTATTTTGGGCCAATTGGAAATTTTAAACTTCGAGAATTTTCGACAGAAGGTCGTGCAACCCGAAGAACGATCGGGTTCTGTCCCTTTTCTTCGCCTTTCGCCCTCATCTCGCTGACCTCTTGCCGCCGCCTCCAGGCAACTTACGTGGCGGTTTGACGTCGTGACAGAGAGCGGCGTCCATGACTCGCGCGCCGTGGTTCCGTCGGGAGGACTTCCTGACAGCTTCCGGCACTAAAACCGAACCAGTCGGCCACGGCGGGATGACGGTGGCGACTCTTCGCTCACTTTCGTGCGGTGGTTCTGCGCCTGTCTAACGTCTGACAGAGGTGGGTGCGAACGTTTCCGTCGTCACTCGTCACTCACGCCTCTCGCTTCCAAGAAAACTCTCTTCCACGGCGGCGAAGAACAGGGACGAGTTCAGTTGTTCGTCAAGTTCGGCACTAAAATCCCAACAAATTTGGCGCGAACGTCACAATCTCAGGAAAAAAGAATTACGAATTTCTTTTCACAATGAACAACGAAAGAAATCTGGAAATGGTTGTAATCATTTGTTGATTGCATTGCGATGGAGGCTGGGGAGTGTGCGGCAGGCGTGCGAGAGGTCGTGGCATCCGTGCGCATCTTGGCCGATCGATTGAAGGCGGCAACGAGTGCTGCCGCGGCAGTGCAGGAGGTGCAGCAGCCGGTGGATCACTGGAGCTTGGCTAAGGAGGGCCTGGGCCTTCTCTTCGCTTTGGGCGCAGCTGTACAGCACGAGAAGGGCACACACAACCTCACTGGTATGAGGGACACGAGAAATCCTTCCTTCTTGATTTCTTTCATCTCATTCCTTGCGTGCCGCCTTAGAGGCCAGCAGTAGTCTACCTGCAGCACCAAGTAGGAGACCTCGACTGGGGGAGGATGACGCTGCTGCACCACCCCCGCCATGGCAGTTGGGTTTGCAGGTGCGCTACTCGTTCAAAAGCAAAAGATGTTCATCCATCAAGTAGAGCACTTTTACTGAAGGAGCACTCGGTCTCGCTGGGCGCGGACCACAGGATGAGCTGGCCGTACGGCAGGTGGTGCAGATGGTGGTCTGGTGGGGCATCCTCCCTTGCCTGGCCGAAGGCGTTGGCATCCCGTTGGATCAGCGCTTGCAGAACGCCTCCACCTGTACGTGGTCGTCGACTTTGTGAAGTCTTTGCCTGCCGTGGTGGTGAGAGCTCAGCCCGTTTTGTTCGTCGCGGTGTGCAGCAATGCGGCTGATTCCAGACCGGGTCGCCGATGATGCGCGCTTGTTCGAGTGCACCAAGGCGCTCGTCGATGTCACCTCGCGCACGGAGGAGCTCAGGGCCTACGTCCTGCCCACCTATCTTCCCGATATGATGGCCGCCCTCCTTCAGCTCGCCTACGGCCCTACGCTTTCGGCGCCGCCGGTCTGCTCCACACCCGAACCCGCATCATCGACGCCGGTGGAGCTCCGAGCTCAACCGGCTCAACCCGCCAAGGCTACTCCGGCCAGCGTCCTGTCGGCGTTCCTGCCGCAGGCCCGGGCGGCCAGCTCCACCAGCGACCAGCAGGAAAGCGCGACTACCCAACAAGCCCCCTCGCCGATGCAACAGTGGGCGTCGCCCGTTCTCGAAAGCAGCTTCATCAAAGCGTACGCGCGCTCCACACTTTATCTTTGCTGTGTGTGCCCTAATCGCGCGTACATTTACGATGTCGTATGTTTCGCACAAAACGCGCTTCAGTGTGACACCGCAGGCGCTGGTGGCCTCGCTTCTGTTGCTCATGGGCGCCCCGAGTCGTCCGGCTCCTCGGTGGCTGTCGTCTCAATGCGGACACCTGCTCTCGCGCGCCCTCATGCGCCACGGAGGAGTCGCTGCAGTTCTCGCGCATCTGGGATCCGGCGGCGACCGTGCGTTCTCCCTCTCTGCGAGCCCAGCTCCAGACCTTATCATCATTGCCTTCATCATAGCGCCCAGCCCGCAAACGTTGCTAACACCTGAGCCCGCCGAATGGAACCATTCGCGCGAAACACAGTGCCCGACGCGCTTCAGGCCAAGATCGTTCAAATCATCACCACTCCGCCCAAGCAGGTCCCCAAATCGGTGCGTCTCCCGCCCGCGACCGGCCAGTCTTCGCCCACTTGTCTCTGACTGAAGTGGTACATGGCAACGATGCGCGGTGGGGAACAGAAGTACTATGCGGCCGTGTGTCCGCAGCTGCGCGAGCTCGTGCACGTGCCGCATGGGCACGACCAGGCGGAGGCGTACACGCGAATCGCGATCACGGCCGCGGGCAGGATGCTCGAAAAGCAGCCACTGCTGACCAAGCGCTACTTCCTCGACCCCATCCTCGCGCCGCTGGCCCTCTTCGCTCGATCGTCGGCCTTGCCTGCTGCCGCCCGTGGCAGTACCACCACCGACCTGATTCGAGAGCAGCCGCTCATCAGGTCCCTGGAAAAGAAGCTGCCGGCCGATACGCCGCCGGCCGAGAGCGTCGAGATCGATGAGAAGACATTGTCGGCGTGCCTGGACGACCTGGAGAAGGTCATCTCCGCCCACAGCGCCAACGCCACTCTGAGCAACGCCGTCGCCGAAGGTATGAGACCACACCAGTTGAAAGCTGTACCGCGAGTACGTTCACAGCTGGATCATGACCCGGCGATGTGTGTGCGTCGTGGTGGTTACGCACAGTCATGCCAGCGCTGTTCCAGTTGTACTGCTACACGCGGCGCAGTCCGACGTCGCTCAAAGCCACGGTCACGTCGATCATGGACACCTTCTTCCTGGTGTCCGAGGGCAGCGCCACGGGGCAGGCGCTGAGGGACCTCATTCTGCCTCCCAGCCCCGACGCCTCCACGTCGTCGTTTGCGCTGGCCTTCGCGCCGGGGCCGACCGGCGGGGTGGTCATCAAACGAACAAAGAATCCGAGGTATGCTGCGTCAGCGCGTGCGTGCGTCGCTTAGTCACTAAACCGGTCGCGTGTGGTATGTGGGCGGGGCGAGTGCAGCCGTCGGGACTCGTACGGGGAGGCCGAGTGCGTGGTGGCGCTGCTCAAGGAGCTGGGTAACGAGCAGCTGATGGGCAACCTCTTCGTCGACCTCCTCAAGGCCTTTGTCGATATGCGCAGGCAAGACGTTGACCGCGAGATTGCAGCGCAAGGCGAGCCCCAAGGAGATGACGAAGAAGAAGAACACCAAACCGAGCGGTATGCCAACACGCTTGTGCGCGACAATCCCACCGCATTATTGACCTGGTGTCGATTGCTGGCTTGCTTGTTTCCTACAGACACCTGGTGTTGCTGCACTTGTTGGCGTCGATGAGCGAAGGCCTGGGCGAGAAGCTCATCCAAGACGTCGTGCAAGTGACCACCCTTCTTCGCGTACGCAGCCACCCACTGAACCAGCAATAAGGCTTGTTCGCCAAAAAATGGGTCACGCGATGACCCTGACACTAACGGATCGCCTGGCGTACGTATCAGGTGATGTTTGAGGGCGGCGATGAGGTGGTGGTGTCGCTGTGCTTGAGCATCCTGAGCGCTCTGCTCTCGGGACAGAAGATCAAGCTCAACCAGGCCGAGTCCATCTTGTTGCTCGACCTGCTGCCCTTCCTCGGCGAACTCAAGGTACCTTTTACGCACACGTACGCACACACGCGCGCACCCACACACTCGCACACTCGCCCACATCGTGACGCCACCACACATTGCACATTGGCGGCGGCGTACCAACGGTCGATTATCTGCGACTGGCGATGCAGGATCACCCCGAGGAGCACATCAGCACTCTGGCCACGGAGCTGCACGTACGCATCATCGCACGAGATCGATCCTGGTTCAGCGACAGCACCACAGAAACAGGTAACACACACGCACGCGCGCTCACAGTGACGCATCTTCTTCCGCGCGTATCTAATCCACGACACGATCGCGCGCGCACACAGAAACGCCGTCGCTGTTCCGCAAGGACGTGGAGCAGATACTGGCGGAGCTCCGGGACCCGCTGCTGCCGGTGAGAGCGCAGGCCCTGGTCGCCCTGCGCAAGCTGGTGCTGGCCAAGGACGAGTTCGCGCGGGCCAACCGGGACAAGATTCTCGACATCTTCCAGACCCAGCTTCGCGACTCGGATAGGTTCATCCTCCGCGCCGCTCGTCGCCTTCACTCTTGCAGTGTTGGCTGACATCGACACACACGACACACATGACACACACGACACACACGACATACACGATAGCTATCTCTATTATGCGGCGATGCGGGGATTGGGAGCCCTGGGCGACATCTTTCCCGAGGAGATCATTCCGGTCTTGGTCAAGTCCTTCCTGGACGAATCCCTGATCGAGGACACTCGGCTCAAGCTGGGCGAGACCCTTGTGCGCGTGTGTGAACGATGCGGAGAGACACTCCCCAAATACGGTACACGACACGACACGACCCACGACACGACACACCACCGCGCAACTCGTTTTTGTGCTGACGAAGCGAGTCGGGCGGGTGAGGGCAGGCCACCATTTTGTGAGCACCTTTCTCGCGGGTGCGCAGAGCACGTTGTCCAACCTGCGCGCCAGCTCCCTCTCCAACCTGGCCAGCGTGTGCGAGCTCATGCGATTTTCGCTTCACCCTTTCATCCACGGTACCGCCCTGCGAACGCACGACACGACACGACACACACAGCACACTGACCGTGTGCGTGTGCGGTCGCAGACATTGTCAACGTGCTTGCCGAGCGGCTGCGAGGCGACCCAAGCGCGGACGTGCGCCTGGGTTGCCTGTTCGTGCTCTCGCGCCTGTTCGCGGGCATGGGCGTCGAGTCGCTCGAGCTGCTGGCCGAGCGCCTCAAGGAGATCCATCAGCTGCTGCGCCACACAAGCGAGATCGACGTCGACGCCGGCGTGCGCGGGCGTGCGCGCGAGGTGCTGGGGCTCATGAACGACATCACCCGCGCCGTGTTCCAACAACGTCCGCCCATGCGCGATGACCACATACTCAACGTCGTTCAATCCTGACGGCATGTGTCGTGTGTCGTGTGTCGTGCGGCGGGCAAAACAAAAAGAAATTAAAAAACAAAAAAACGCCATTTAAATTGACAACACATCAGATGGAGGATGAGGGAGAGCGGCACGAGATCGAGGCTGTGGAGGTGAACCCCTACGATGTGCGCGTGTTGGTGCTGAACTACTTGCTGCACCACTGCTACGTGGACACCGCACAGGCGTTCATCGAGGCCTGTAATCTGCATGAAGAGGGTAAGATGCTTCGTGTGGCCGTGCAACAACGAAAAGGTGAGTCCCTTCATCCTTGCGTGGCTAGGTGGAGCACGTCGTGCTTCCTCCTCTAGCCTTCTGCTTTATTTTACTCTCTCTTCATCATCTCAAACATTTTCTACACTCTGCTGATTCTCTTTCTCATCTTTTTGGCTCACCTGCTCAGACATCGTAGACTTGGTTCGTGGGGGAGCGATCGACGAGGCCATCAAGCTCATACGCTCAGCCTTTCCGCAGCTGCTGGACAAGCACCCGGAGGTGCGGTTCAAGCTGCTGTGCCAGCGCTTCATCGAGCTCATCCGACAGCGCAAGAAGGAGGAGGCCCTCCTCTTCGCCCAGAAGGAGTGGAGCCCGCACGCCAAAGACGATCCCTCGCTACTCGACGAGCTGCAGGTGCGCATTCGATGATTCCTCTTCACGTTTTTGGCCTCTTCTTCTTCTTCATGTAGCCGCCAGCCCTCATCGCCATGATCGTGTGTAGGACGTGTTTGCGCTGATCGCGTACGAGGACCCGGAGACGAGTCCGGTGTGCCAGTACATGGCGGAGGACTACAAGGACCAGATCGCGCTCCGCGTCAACAGCGCCATCCTCGGTACGACCACTACTCCTCGACTACTACTCCCTGATCCCTCATCATCACCGCCATCATCTCTACCGCTACAGAGCACCACGGCTTGGCGGGCGAAGCGGCGCTCGAGGTGGTGTTGCGCCACTTGGCCGCCCTGCGGCAGGTCATGGCCGAAGGCAGACGCGCCAGCGGCGGCGGCAGCAGCAAGGTGCGTCCAGAGGTCACGCGGTACACGACTCGTGGTGGTCGTGCAGCTGATGGAGTGGGTGAGTGCTGTGGTGCGCGCAGGGCGCAGCACCGGCGTGGAGCCTCCGGGCGTACCTCGACAGACACCACGAGTGATGAAGAACCGCCACTACCACGCAGCCGTAGTCGTGCGCGTGGATGAAGGATGAGCTCGCGCGAGGCTTCTACATGTACAGATCTCAGAATTAGATACAACGATCGATTATTTTCATGCTTGTAGGCATTTGGCCATTCTTCCGCAGGCTCTCCCCTTCCTCCAATTCGAAGAAAAGGCTGCGCAGATCGAGGATGGCCAGCTCAATGTCTAAAGGGCAACGGGTGATGGAAACCGCTAAAAATGAGTGTAAAGTCAGGGGGGATGCGAATCATCGTGGAGGTTAAGAATCGTAGTTTAGTGTGAAGTGAAGATGAACCAATTGGATCGCTTATTTGGCAGCGGGGTTGGTGACGAGGTAGCTGACGGCATCCTCGATGGTCTGGATCTTGTCAGCCTGCTCCTCGGGGATTTCGATGCAGAACTCGTCCTCGAGACCAAGCACGAGCTCGACAGTGTCGAGCGAATCGAGACCGAGGTCGTTGATGAAGTGCGACTTCTCGTTCACGGCATTGGGGTCGACCTTGTGGAAATTCTTCACCACCTTGATGACCCGCTCCCTGGCGTCGGCCTCCGACAGACCGGCAGCAGCGCCGTAGTGCCTCCTCTGGTAATCGAAGGTCGTGATGGCATCGCTCCTCCTCGCGAAGGTGGTGGAGAGGGCAGCAGATGAGGAAATGGAGGAGAATCTGAGGGAAGAGGCGACGGGCGCGAAGGCGGGGGCACGGGCCGACGCGCGGAGCAAAGCGGGGCGAGCGATGCGGTTCATTGTATTTATGATTACGCCGATGTGTGGGGTGGGACGCTACGCAAAATCAAAATCTGGCAGACAGCACGCGAGAAAGCCAGCCAAGAAACGAAGCCACACGAAGAAATTTTTGCAGACATAGTCGACCTGATTGCTGACGTCAGCATCGAACAAAACGAAATAATAAAAATAAAAACAAAAACTGATACACAGGGCTGAAGGCGTGAGCATGCTGGGGTGTTGTGGCTGTGGCGGGGAGAACTGGTGGTGCCTCCACGAAGATGCCATTCGAGTGGTCGTCGTGGGCAAACCTGGCTCTGGTACCCCCCCCCCAACCCCCGTTCTTTCTTTCGTGCACCGCTTGGCCTTGAAACTGAGTTTGGCTCTGTGGTGGTCTGTGGCCACAGGCAAAACGTACGCGCGCCTGCTTCTCTTCAAGGCCTGCCTGGTGCGATGTAAGCTTGGGCTAAAAGCCCGACTCACTTCCACCTCATGTACTTTCTTTTGTAGCGCCCTGATCAGGTCTGCCCACGTCGGCTCTACGGCGCACTTGGGTACAACCACCCACCACCCACCCACCATGTTCTTCTACAAAGCCTCACCTCGCGACTCGGCTCAGATGAGAAGCCGCAGAGGGGCAACACGCTCGCGAAGATGGAGCCTCGAGTAGTCGAGCGGGGCGGAACGACCCTCCACATATGGGAAGAGCCCGCACCGCCATCCGGCGTGCGGTGGGCGCTGGACTACAAAGGTGACCATGACACCGCCACAACGTCCACCCAATCCCCTTGAATTGTCCAATCAATTGATGTGCTGCTCCACCAACAGGGCCGGAGTATGCGCGGGTGCAGCCGGTACCAGCCTCGCTCCTCTCGCCGCGGTGGCCTTCTCAGAGTGAACAACATGTGTCGTGTGTGTGTGCGGTACTGTGTCGTGTGCGAGAAGGACGTGATTGTGTATACGTTCAGTGTGGCGGAGAGCTTCTATGACGTCACGTTCGAGCTGCCCAACCGCTGCCGTGGCAGAACCGCCTACGGGGCCGACTTCACCATCCCGCTGATCGTGGTCGGCACCATGGCCGACCTGCGCCACGCCTACGAGCACGAGCGGAAGCTCATCACAGACCGCGAGGTAACCTCTTCTTGTGATCATGAAGAAGATGAAGATCATGGTGGAGATGACGATGAAGAGTAACACCTCGCCACTCACCAGGCACGAAGTCTGGCAGAGAAAGTGTCGGCGCTTTACTACGTGGAGGTGAGCGCCAGGGAGCGAACGAACATCGACCTGCTATGGGACGTGTTGGCCAAGTCCAAGTCCATGCGCCACTGGATCGAAGCACGCGAGTTCAGAAATCGACGGCTCGGTACTCAGGCGTTTCCACTTCGCTCTTTCGGCTTCATTCTTCGTTCTTTCGGCTTCATTCTTTGTTCATCTTCGTTCTTTGCTGCCTTGCCTACGACATTCGACGTGGCCTCACATAGCCTGTACAGGATTGTCGCCGCCAGAAGGCACGGCCGACGATGTACCGCTGTTGCCCTCCGAGGACAGATCCCGTTGTGTTCTGAGCTGAGTTGGCTCGCGCCGTTTCGGTCGAAGATTTTATAACAACAATAATCTAACTGCGAGCAAAAAGATCACTGGCTGCCTCCCCGGCCTCGTCCGCGTCCGCGTCCTCGTCCTCGCTGTTGCTTCCCTCGTCCTGCTTGCTGGGGCTTTCCCTGCTTCTTCTGTTCTGCTTCTGCTTCTTCTTCGTCGCCTTCCTCTTTTTCTTCCACTTTCGCGACGAGCGGCTGGCCCGCGAAGCTGGCCATCCGGCGCTGATGCGACTCAGTCGTGATGTGGCGCTGCGTGTGACGAAAGGACGACATCCGATCAAGAGAAAGTGTGAGTGCGCAAGACCACGGCAAGGCGGAGGCAAAGGTGGTGACGAGGTGGTTCGAGGCGTGTGTGCGGAGTGGTGAAGAGGTACCTTGAACCCGCTCTCGTCTGGGAACTGCTCTCCGCACAACTGGCAGTACCACCGCAGCTTCTCGAGGCCCTTGGCCTTGATGCGACTGGCAATGGCCGCGGGCGTCAACGTACGGGGCTGGACTTCGACTCGCGGCTCTTCATCGTCTTTCTTCTCTTCGTGTCGTAGTGTTTGCTGCTGCTGCGGGCGACCCTGAGTCGCGCACAGGTCGTGCAGCTGCCGGCGGAGGTCGTCGAAGACGGGTCGGTAGCGCGCGTTGTAGTGGCTCCAGCTCTCTTCATCTTCTGTCGTCTTGTTCGTCTTGCCGGGAAAGAAGACGTCGTGGTGGAAGCGCTGGGCGGCGTGGAGGTCGTGCATGGTGCCGTCGCGGGCCAGCTGGATGGCCAGCAGCAGCAGACGTAGAGCGTGGACGAGGATCTTCTTGCCGCGGTCGGGGCTGCCCTTCTCCATGAACTTCTGGGCTACACGCCAGTCGCGCGCTGTCTCCTCCTCGATCGACGCGTAGAGCCTCGATGGATTGAGCACGAAGCTCCTTCGTATAGATTCCACGAATGACGTCTGTGGCTTGGTGGAAGATGAAGATGAAGATAGCGCTGGCGAGGCCTTCTTCTTTGCTGACGATTTTGAAGAAGATGAAGAAGATGAGGAAGAGGAGGGGAGGGGAGCGTCCTTCCATCGGTAGTCGGCGGGAAGCCACAGGCACAGCAGCTCGTAGAATTCGTGATCTTCCTCGACGCGCTTCTTGAACTCGTCTACGTGCACGGCCGACGCATCGATCTCGCCGTTGTGGAGTGTGGCGTGGGGTGGCCGCTTGGCGGTGGGGCAGCGATGGACGATGATGAAGTCGTAGTCACTGTCGAACATGGCCGAGCCCCAGAGCCGGCTGCCCACGAGGAACACCGCGACCACGTCCTCCTCCTCGAATCGCAGGCGCTTGAGCACGTTGGCCAGGGTCAGATGCGAAGCCTCTCGTAACTCGCGCATGGCCGCTTCGATCTCCTCCTTACTAGTTGTGCCTCCACCCTCTCCTTCGTTGTGTTTCTCCATCTTTCCGTCCCTTGCTTAGACAGAACCAAGAGGTTCTCCCCTTCTGCTTGCTTTTGATCTTGATTTCATCTCTTCCCTGAATCGTCCCACTTACGGTCTGCGAAATCATGAAGAAACGAGCACCAAACTACCAAGACGAGCAAGCGTTGAAAAAGAAGTTCGTGTTCTTGTTGAACTCAGCGCTCAGTATGTACATGATTGTGAAGTGGTCCCGTCCTCTGGCTCTAGAGGGCGCGGGTGAGAAAGAGGCCTCCGCTGCGATCAAACGCGTTGAGCATGATGCCCATCACCTTTCGTCGGCTTCCGTCGGCAGCGCTGTTCTCGGTGGTGACGTTGTACGGACAGCACTGCGACATGAGGCACTGCTGCTCGACCGTGCGGCCATTCTCCTGCACGGCCTCGGCAGTCTTGAGAAGCTCCACCCACCCAAAGCCGTCTCGCTCCGGCCGCAGGCTCCACCGACCGCTCCACGTCGTTCGCCTTCTCGTAGTCGTCGAAGGAGCCGGCCGAGTGCTGGTGTGGCTTCGCTTGGTGGGGTCAAAGTCTTCGTAGAGTTCCCACTCGCCGCGCGTGCGATCGTCGCCGGCCGGTAGGACGCAGAGGGTGTAGGAGAGGCCCTCTTCGGTCGCGTTGTGGTGGAAGAAGCCCAGGAGGAGCTCGTCTCTCGTCGGAGGCGTGGGCGGCAGACTAGTAGTCGGGGCGCTCGACGCTGCGGGCGATTCTGGCGACGACGTCTGCTTATTACTGGTGGGCTCGGCTCGCGATTGCGGCTGCGGTTGGGGGGCAGCCCTGGTGCGCTCCTGCTGTCGAGGAGGCGCAGCGTGGGTCGTCTTCTGGCGTGTAGCGCGAGGTGGTTGTTGCTGGTGCTGTGAGATGGACTCGGTATCCTGCAGTGGAGAGAGTAGAGCAAAGGGGGAACGGAGAATAACGTGAGATGAGGCCGTTGGGCTCCTTGCCTCCCGTCGTGGCGCGCTGGTGGCATCTCTCCTCTCCTCGATCGGAGTCGGGGCCTCCCTTCCCGCTCTCCAGCCCATCCACCATGGCGCCCAGGTGGCCTCCGTTTGCAGATCTCGAGTCATGCCCCCTTCACGTCGCGTGTTTGAGGATGTCGAAGCAAGTGCGGAGGGTGGAGCCAAGGGGGTAGAGGCATCGGCCGATTTCTCGAGTTATGCGCTCGTGAATGGAGAGATGGCAATTCGATACGGATGCTAGAGACGAAAGCGCGGAGGGGCTTATACTGGCTGAGTTGTGGTGCGTACTGATTGCTGTCTGCGCTTTGTCTGCGTAATACCAAAGCGACATCCTCGTTTAGCTTTACAACCCCTTGATCCTTCTAGAAGATAGCGTTTCGTACCCCTTGGTTCTTGCTCCTGATAGGACCCGAAGAAGATTGCTTCGCAGTCGCGATGATTGCCGATTGTACCTGGGAGAGCATGCTGCGTTGACGCCCACGCTTCCCCATCACCTGACGACGACGTTGAGGCGCCGCGATTCTCGATTCTATCGCTTGCATCTTCCTTCTTCTGTGTTCGATCCGTGTCCGGTTGCGGGTAGATTGAATTCTGTTCTTCGAGTTCTCTTCTCTCTTGCTCTTTAGTGGCGTTTTTTGTCGACAATGGACAAAATAAAGAAGTTTGTCCCCAGCCACTCCCCAACACCTGTTGTCTGTTGCAGTCAGCCAATCCGCCTGTCTTGATGACATGTTGGTGGATGTGGCCGTGTCGAGGTCCAGCTGGCGACTAGTCGCGCTTGGGGTGGTGATGGTCAAGGTCTACCGGTGGTGGTGCATCATGATGGTGGTGCTGGGTGGTGCTGGAATAGGCGAGTTGTCGTTGCGCGGCCAGGAGGGCGAGGGCGGCAAGGCTGTTGAGCACGGCGGTGAGGGCCACCCCCACGAAGTAGAGTAGGAAAAGTGCGTCGAGCGTCGTCCATGGCATCGACAGGTGCGTAGAAGTAAATGATGAGGATGATGATGATGACGTGGCCGAAGACGATGAGGAGGTGGTGGACGACGCCAAGTGGGTCAGGGCCGAGAAGATGGTGGTGGTCAGGGACGAGGTCCACCAGTAGACGAAGGAGAAGAAGGTGGGTAGCGAGTAGAAGGGGACCGTGAAGCAGGCGAGGGACTTCCACAGCACGTAGGCCCCGAAGGCCTTCGTGCAGTCCCACCCGTGCGCGTAGAAGAGCACGAGGGTGAGCCCGAGCGACACGGGGAGCGCCGCGCCGCAGCTCTCGTGGAGGAAGACGACCAGCGCCTTGTAGAAGAGGATCGCGCCGCCCACCATGTAGGCCGGCGCCAGGGCGAAGAAGGCGACGCGGAAGAGGTGCGGCCACACGGCCTGGACGAACAGGAAGCCGACGAGGGACGAGAGCGCCCAGTAGCCCAGCAGCTCCGCCGTCAACCCGTTGTCGTCATCGCCGCCGCCGCCGCGTGCGTGTGCGAGCCACACGACCAACGCGATCGAACTGACCGCCAAAGCCAGAGCGGCCTGTGCGGACACATGTGAGCGTTTCCTGTGCACGAAAATCAACACACAACACACAACACACAACGGACACGCACATGCACACGCACACACACGTGGCATGAGTGCACCTTGCCGGCTGGGTGGCGAAAGGCGCGCCGAAGCAGAGTGTGGATGGCACGCTGGAGGGCCTCGGGCAGAACCAGCAACGCGGCGCCCAGGCACAGGCCGACGTATTTGGCGCCCGGCTCGAGCACGTCGATCGCGCGCACCATCCAGGCCATCATCCCATGCTTCGGCGCCAGTGCGACCACGTCCCGCCATGTGGGAAGCGGGAGCACTGCTCGCAGGTGCGACATCGTCTCCGACAGACTGTCATCTGCGTGTCGTGTCGTTGGTCGTGTTGTGTCGTGTCGTGTCGTGTCGTGTCGTGTCGTGTCGTGTCGTGTCGTGTCGTGTCGTGTCGTGTCGTGAGCAGGCAGAAGGAGTCAATGAAAGGCCCATAGGCTAGCGTGGTACCGGTGCAGGAGAATTCGAGGGGCGTGGTGGATTGAGCCGCGTGGCAGGCGCTGCTGCGGAGCGCAGGGTCGGTCGAGACAAGGAAGCGCAGGAACACGACCGACGCCGCCACGCAGGAGCACAGGACGAGCACGCATCGCGATGGCGTGCGGAAGACGCTGTGCCGCAACACCCGGAAGTGGAGCAGCGACAGCACCGCCAGGCCCAGCACCACCGCCCGCACTGTGCCCGGCGACGGCTCTGCTACAAACAACACGACACACGACACGCGACACACATGAGCGAACTTGGCTGGGTGCTCAAATGAATAGCGAGAGGCGGGCGACCTTGGGTGACGACAGCGCGGGTCATAGGGCACCACTGCTCGTGGCCCGCGGCGGCGGAGGCGTGGTCGCGGACCCACTCCCGCGCGAACCGGGGC